GAAACATATTGCCTGACTGTTTCGATCAGTGTATGGTCAATACATCAGGACTGGACAGCAGTATCAAACAAAGTGACCAAATAAACGTGACATTTTGTCAGATGAGGACATTATGCTGATGGGGTGAATATTTATATACCAAGATAAACAGTAATTGCTAATTCATTCATTAGGTGGTCATTCTTTACTGTAGTTTGTCCACGAATGGGAATTTGGACAGTGGTCAGATCAAGGTTCTACTGAATGCCAATCAAGCATGTCACTGATGCTGACCTTTAGGAATCATTTTACAGAGGTCACACTCTGACCTTGACATTGACTCATGGTTGTACCAAACCTTTATCTAGAAAGGATCAAGTGGGAATGTGGATTTTCTAATCATATCAATATTAGTTTAGCCATGATAGTGGGGATTTTAAGAACAAATGCTTAAGGAAGGTTTTATGTATTTTAAAGACAAAATAGCATGCTCTTATTTTACAACTCATGCAATTTGTCTCCTTTCAAGATTGACACACAATTTTGTTCAGCCATTACACAGTTAAATGTTTCACTTTGTCTGCTCTAGTTTTGATGGGTTATTTAGAAATAATAAGCTTATACAACTACAGAACACATCTAAAAACTATTATATGTATAGCAGTGATATGACCTCTAATACATAGTGTACTCCGTGAGGATACTGTATTGAACAGCTAATGAAGGCCATGTCCTTCTCAGATAGAAGTGAAAGCCTTTTACTATAATCTTGTTATTAATGGTAAATAGCTTTACATTAATCAGATATTAACTTTTTTATTTCACACTTCCCAATCCATTTATTTGAAAAATTGTATGAAAACCATAAGAATAAAGGATGTGGCCTTAGCCAAACCCACTGTGTGACAAGAACTGTTAGCCAGATACAAGATGAAAGAGGGAACAATGTGCAGAAAATGTTGGGCCAATGTCAGTGCAGTGTTGTAATGTGAGCCTGTCTGGGTCTCTGAGTACCATTGAAGGTAGGCAACTGCTGGATGTCTGATGTTATCATTCATAATGATCTTCACAATGAGTGATTGATTCATTGATACTCCTATTACACACCCTAGGCCCAGCAGGATTTTGAGAAGAAACCATCGGATGATCTGCATAATTCATTAATTGATTTTGTCAACAATAAGCTATAGGTTGATTGAATGATCTTTATGACTTAAAACAATTGGACGAAAATAGAATCTTTTTTATGAATGCATTCACTTCTATTACCAAAAAAAGTGCAAACTACTACTCTATCGCCATTGCAGAACTGATGATGTGGATGGTCTCCTTCTGTAATAGATAAGAAGGAATAATTTGTAAGGAGAGATTTTTTGGAGTGTTCTCCTTCTATTTACTATGTTAACTTGGGGCAGTAGGTAATGTTAGTGAGAAGTGCGTTTACAAGGTTTCATTCTCAGCCTGGTGCATCTTGTGAAGCCAGTTCTTCTTGATTTAGGTTGTGACAGTAAATTTGACATCCTTGATTACCCAATGTATTATATATCCCCATTTTGTTATGATATGTACCCATTCATTATACAACTTCACCTCGGTAGTGCATCACCAACATTAACATTCTTAGCACATTATTTCTCTTGCTCATGAGACCGCCTCCATGGTCTAGAGGTTACTAAGAGCATCCGCCTGGAGAGCAGAAGGTCCGGGGTTCGATCCCCGGCCGCGTCATACCAAAAGACGTTAAAAGATGGTATTTGTTGTTACCCTGTCTGGCGCTCGGCATTAAGGGGCCAAAACAAGGACTGGTCGGCTCGGAGTCAGTAGTGGGGTCTGTGTCTGAGTGGGGTATTCATGTTAAACTGTGGCATGGTATCTCAGTGTGCTAGCACTATAAATCATCATCAGTCCGGACTAGTACAAGCAGCCACAAAAACACTTGCACACAAGTCACTATTTAAGTGCAATAATCTTTGACGCAATGTTAAACCCAATTTCACCTCACCTCACCTCTTGCTCATGAGCTTGAAATCAACAACCAATCCAAATACTTCTTCTAGATACAAGTTTGCCATAGATCTGTAATTAAGATTGTGGTCATGTATGATGTATTTAATCAAGTTAGAAGACATTAAAATATATGAATGCTAAGGGCAGTGGAGGGGAGCCCTTTTGCTATATAAGACATTCTGGTTGACACACAAAAGTCAATTTTGAAAACTGATATTATCACCACTTTCTTCAGTCCATTGTACAATTCAGACTATATGATAAGCATGTGTTTATGAGTCACTATAATTATTGATGATACCAGGTGTTTGCATGAAAGTGACTGGATCTTACACTGATGGCACCCATCACAAACACATGCAAAGGCAAGTAATATATGTTCACCTGAACAAACAGAGGAACATACGGAACAAAATAGGGAATTGCATTAGACATCATTTTGGTCACTGATGCCTCAAATTTTAAAATGCCCTCCACATGTCCACAGAAAAGAAAACAGAAAGCTTTATTAAAATCTCGAATGCTGTAACCCTGATCAAGGAACTTTAGAGGAAGACACCCAGATGAAATGACTTCGGACACAAAGTCGTATGACATACTTTGAAATCTTCTTGGATGGAGCATGCTCAATTGTATCTCAAAAGTTGTGAAATGTAGACACCAAAGGCTGAGGCTGCAGGAATATTGATCGCCATAAGTGAAGGTTGACTATTGGAAAGTTTCAATGTAAGAAAGAAAAGTGTAACTTAATTGATCGTCTATTTTTACCATTGTGTCAATCATTGTTTCACTGTGTGACTCAAAGACAAAACTATATGTCCGAATAAGTCCTGGGTGTTTATCATAATAGAATGTGAGTATGATACACTGGATAGTCAAAGATGTAAATCTGTAATATAGGGCAGGGACCCGTTCCACAAAAGCGACTGTAAAGCTACAACAGTCGCAAGTCTCTGTTAAAGTATAGGCATAATGGGGACCTAAGGGTTACAATCACTTTGTAGAATGGACCACAGGATTATAGAAGAGACAATGCTCCTAAGTGCTACCGGAAGTGGTAAAGGCTCACAACTCCATGCTTGTGGTAAAGACACCTCAACTCACAATACAGGCTTGCATCCTCAAACGGATCATGGGTTTTAATCCCTGATTCACTCAGGGTATTTTTAGCACCATACATGGTTTCACCACAGTGATAAACATCCATGGCTTCATCATTATAGGCCTTCCCCCCACATCGCTACGGTAAAGCTAAAATACTGTTCAAAGAGACCGAAAGTACCTTATTAACACACATGCTCAGCTAAACACATCTTTACAAAAAATATATTTATATGTCACTAATTCATATGCACAGATCATTCTCATACGAAGAGAAGCATTAAAGAATAGAAATGAGAATATGACCTTTTATCCCATTTCTCACACCCCAATGACTTGTCAGTCCAAATTGTAAACTGTCTGCCCAAATAACAGAAGCACCACTATTGACCTCAGTCACTTGCTGTTGAGTAACATTTCATGTAAGCGTTCCTAATGCAGGGGGCCAGGCCGGCATATTATCGGACTTCATTGTGCAAATCCTTTTTGTAGTTTAGGCCGTATTGTAACCCAGGGTAAACTCGTAAATCAGGTCATATAGAGGTATTGAGAATTTTGCTTAATGTTTCTCTCGTGAATCCAAGATATAAATTAAGTTCAAACAGTCCAATATTTTTAAGTGCTTATATTTGTTAGAGATTATTTTGTTTACTTTGATTATTGTTGATCAATTCTAGGCCAGACCAATTTATTTCTGTATTTTATAGAAGTTCCTGCTCTAAATTTGTCAAAAGTAAGAGAAATGATGAATAACTATTGTTTAACTGAAACTGCAAATAATATTGGTGCTTTTATTCAATCATTTGTTTCAAGAAGTTTATTATGGAAATTATATATTTTTTTACCATGCATGTGACCTTTTGGCATTTTGATCCAGAAAATCAGTAAAAACAAATTTAAAATTGGTTTGGCCTTAATGTGCTTACAAGATAAGCTTAGTTGCTGAAATATTTAGCACTGCCATTTGTCAATGCAGTGGTTAAAAGAAGGTATAATTAATTTCATTCAGACACTTGACCACATCAAACGGTCAGTTGGTCAATAAATGCAAACACTATGACAAGGTATATTTGTAAAATGGCAACCTATTCAAGCTTAATTTAGAGTCATATATGCATATTAACCCACACAGCTTTCACATTAAACATTGCTGGACTTACGGTCAACTCCGTCCACTTTATATAATGGTTTAGTCATCAAGCAATAACTTTGCTTAAGATGTAAAGGAAAATTGATTCAGTGGTTGACCTTGGTCATTTACAAATTGGTTCTGTTTGATTCTATGAAAAGAGCCGGAAATCAGATTTAGGCAGGCGTTTCTGGGGCTAGAGCATATTTATTGTCCTTGCAGCTGTCAGTTTGAAATTATTCAAAATGTCAGAATGTCCATTTGCTGGAGTAAATAACTGGGGCCAAGAGCGTAATAATTGTCTACAGTGTTCTTTACGCAATCTGGGTAACCCTTGCTTATTTGAACAGTTTGTGTTATCAACTCTGTTGTTTGACTTGAGTGAAAAATTAGACTCTGATAATATTTGCTGTATGTCTAAGTTGGTGGGCTATATTGGTGTCTTTATACTTCAAATGCCAGCAGTGATTGAAGAAGAAACTTTCTTCTTGTGTGCCTGCTCTGCATCAATCTGTCAGGATTTGCTATAATTTGGTTTTAATGCTTTTATTTGACAACAGATTAAAAGGATAAATTGCAAGATTGATAGTTAAGGGTTTAATTGATTCTTGTTTTCTTAAATAAATTCCATTTAAGGTTACGTTTGCTCTGAAGTTTTCAGAAAAAAGGAAACATTTAAAACATCTTTGCCTTTGTCGACCAGGTTTTATAGGATTGTTGTTGAAAAAAATAACTAAATTGTTCCTCAGGATTTATGGCTTTGCAAATCTCATTAAAATCAGTCATGTTTTATCTAGAGCTTAAATTTGAACTCTGCCTCTCCCTCAACCCCATCTACACAACGCTGCCTCTCCTTCACCCCCATCTCCACAACTCTGCCTCTCCCTCACCCCCATCTACACAATGGTGCCTCTCCCTCACCCCCATCTACACAACGCTGCCTCTCCCTCACCCCCATCTACACAACTCTGTCTCTCCCTCACCCCCATCTACACAACTCTGCCTCTCCCTCACCCCGATCTCCACAACTCTGCTTTTCCCTCACCCCAATCTCCACAACTCTGCTTCTCCCTCAGCCCCATCTCCACAACTCTGCCTCTCCCTCACCCCCATCTCCACAACTCTGCCTCTCCCTCACCCCCATCTACACAACTCTGCCTCTCCCTCACCCCCATCTACACAACGCTGCCACTCCCTTACCTCCATCTCCACAACTCTGCCTCACCCTCACCCCCATCTCCACAACTCTGCCTCTCCCTCACCCCGATCTCCACAACTTTGCTTTTCCCTCACCCCGATCTCCACAACTCTGCCTCTCCCTCACCCCCATCTACACAACGCTGCCTCTCCCTCACCCCCATCTACACAACTCTGCCTCTCCCTCACCCCCATCTACACAACTCTGCCTCTCCCTCACCCCGATCTCCACAACTCTGCTTTTCCCTCACCCCGATCTCCACAACTCTGCTTTTCCCTCACCCCGATCTCCACAACTCTGCTTCTCCCTCAGCCCCATCTCCACAACTCTGCCTCTCCCTCACCCCCATCTTCACAACCCTGCCACTCCCTCACCTCCATCTCCACAACTCTGCCTCTCCCTCACCCCCATCTCCACAACTCTGCCTCTCCCTCACCCCCATCTTCACAACGCTGCCACTCCCTCACCTCCATCTCCACAACTCTGCCTCACCCTCACCCCCATCTCCACAACTCTGCCTCTCCCTAACCCCGATCTCCACAACTTTGCTTTTCCCTCACCCCGATCTCCACAACTGAGTTTTGTTTCCTCACATAAGATAGATCTCCAATGGAAAGATGCAGGAACTGGCATACCACTGAATAACATATTTAATAATGCAATTTAATAGAAACAACACTGGCTAGATAATTGAAGTTTTAGTGAATAGTTAATTAATATTTTTGGAAATATGTAATATCTTCCGAAAGCACCAACACATTTTTAAGACAGCATTTGTCATTACTTTAAAAAGTTCACCATCAATCATTGCCTTTATGGTAAGTACTTAGTGACTCCACATACCTACATACATTTTTCTCTTTTCAACTTGTGCCCTCCTTTGCGAAGTTAATACTTTTCTTTCATGAAGGTTGAAAAAAAGGTTCAATGTAGCAATGACATTCAGTGATATTCTTGGCTAACAATGACACACGATATATATAGATGTACAAGTTTTTGACATAGATGTATTGTTGGAGTCTCCATTCTAACCATGAAATGAGTTTGTTGAAAACAAGAGCCTTCCTGTCCAAGACCTTCCAGAGTTCAGGTCATCATATTTATGCTCTTTTTTGAGATCAGCAGCTTGAAATTTCCTTTTTCATCATAATTAGTCAACACAAATTGCTCTGGAATGTCATGGTTTAGCCAATATATGGTCGATCTCCTGCCCCCCAAGTGGTGTTTGTCTACAGTACTTAACAACCAGATATAGGAAATGGCATACTTGTCACAATAGCACTGGTCAGATGACATCCAGCTCTGATTGTATATTTCAAAGGATTGTCTATGATTAAGGTCATATTGCGTCTTTACTTATCATATTTACCATGCCTCTGAGGACCGTGGGATGTAGTTGCGAAATCGACAATTGTACATTTCACTTAATGAGTAGTGTGTGTCTGCGAGCAATGAGCAAGCAGTAAAGGTCACCTTTGTAGAGGAAGGTCACACTCTGGCTGTTGGCGGCCTCTAATTTCCTGTATTTTGACATATTATATGTTTTTCAGCAGTGACGACTCTCATTGGACGTAATGGCGGAAACAGAGGGAAAATATTCAGCTAATATTGCCTTTAGCCATCAAGAGATCATGTCCATTCTGATGAATATAATGCTGTCTGGCTTCAGCCATTACGAGGGAGATGTTTATGAATAAGACAATTTATTTTATTCTGTGGCTTGAATTCAGTTTAATTGTTTTAGAAGCATTCTACAAATAAGTGATATTATAAACAAAACAAAATACTTGTCTTTTGATCAGGGCTCCATATGATTGATATAGCAACTTAGTATATGCTCACATGTTGCTATTCACATTAAACGTCTTCTTGCTCCCTTGGGTTGGGTCTGTTGGGTACTTTTAAACTAATATTCAGATACACTGGCTTTGTGTAATCAAGCTACAAAAAATTAATGTGTTAATAGTGATTTATTGTAATATTTTAAACGTATATGCAGCTCATCTGCAGCTGTGTGTGATCATTGACTTACACTGAAAAACACCCTGCAGATGGACATTATTTCACAAATGTTCAGATAAGTGATATGATTTAGATCCAATTTTTTGACACATAATGTCTGATATTGAAAAGCCATTATGGATCAATTTACAAAAGTGACATGTTATGAAATATATAATTTCAAGACTGCTATATATAAAACATGTTACATCAATGGTATCATGAATAAAATCAAAATATTGACACATCTTACCTAATTTTCAATAAAACCCATGGTTTCAGTTTTTATATTCTCTCACCCTCACCCTCACCCTCACCCTCACCCTCACCCTCACCCTCACCCTCACCTGACCATGATGCTAACACGATCCCAAAGACATTAAATTCTTTCACAAACCCTGCATAGCTGTAATGTATTCTGTCACAAATGTCACATTAATGAGCATATGTGAGAGATATTCATCTATGTATTATAAATCCCAGTCAATCCATGTTATCATGAGGTGATCACAGAACAGGATAATGATTGGAATTGAACGAATTCAACACTCTCTTTGATATATTCATCATGAATAAGTATTGATCAAAGTTAAGTACAAATAATTGATCAGCGCTCATCAAGACACAATTACCAAAACCCAGACAACTGGACAGAGTCCGCAAAGAGTTTGACCTTGTGAGACATGATGAGTAGCCCATCCCTGTGTGGGTGCATCTTTCATACATTGTCAGTAGTGGTATGCCCATCCCTGTGTGGGAGCACCTGTCATACATTGTCAGTAGTGGTATGCCAGTCCCTGTGTGGGAGCACCTGTCATACATCGTCAGTAGTGGTATGCCAGTCCCTGTGTGGGAGCACCTGTCATACATTGTCAGTAGTGGTATGCCAGTCCCTGTGTGGGAGCCTCTGTCATACATTGTCAGTAGTGGTATGCCAGTCCCTGTGTGGGAGCCTCTGTCATACATTGTCAGTAGTGGTATGCCAGTTCCAGTGTGGGAGCCTCTGTCATACATTGTCAGTAGTGGTATGCCCATCCCTGTGTGGGAGCACCTGTCATACGCTGTCAGTAGTGGTAAGCCAGTCCCTGTGTGTGAGCATCTGTCATACATTGTCAGTAGTGGTATGCCAGTCCCTGTGTGGGAGCACCTGTCATACATTGTCAGTAGTTGTATGCCATTCCCTGTGTGGGAGCATCTGTCATACATTGTCAGTAGTAGTATGCCAGTCCCTGTGTGGGAGCACCTGTCATACATTGTCAGTAGTGGTATATCAGTCCCTGTGTGGGAGCACCTGTCATACATTGTCAGTAGTGGTATGCCAGTCCCTGTGTGGGAGCACCTGTCATACATTGTCAGTAGTGGTATGCCAGTCCCTGTGTGGGAGCACCTGTCATACATTGTCAGTAGTGGTATGCCAGTCCCTGTGGGAGCACCTGTCATACATTGTCAGTAGTGGTATGCCAGTCCCTGTGTGGGAGCACCTGTCATACATTGTCAGTAGTGGTATGCCAGTCCCTGTGTGGGAGCACCTGTCATACATTGTCAGTAGTGGTATGCCAGTCCCTGTGTGGGAGCACCTGTCATACATTGTCAGTAGTGGTATGCCAGTCCCTGTGTGGGAGCACCTGTCATACATTGTCAGTAGTGGTATGCCAGTCCCTGTGGGAGCACCTGTCATACATTGTCAGTAGTGGTAAGCCAGTCCCTGTGTGGGAGCCTCTGTCATACATTGTCAGTAGTGGTATGCCAGTCCCTGTGTGGGAGCCTCTGTCATACATTGTCAGTAGTGGTAAGCCAGGCCCTGTGTGGGAGCCTCTGTCATAAATTGTCAGTAGTGGTATGCCCATCCCTGTGTGTGAGCATCTGTCATACATTGTCAGTAGTGGTATGGCAGTCCTTGTGTGGGAGCACCTGTCATACATTGTCAGTAGTGGTATGCCAGTCCTTGTGTTGGAGCACCTGTCAAACATTGTCAGTAGTGGTAAGCCAGTCCCTGTGTGGGAGCACCTGTCATACATTGTCAGTAGTGGTATGCCAGTCCCTGTGTGGGAGCACCTGTCATACATTGTCAGTAGTGGTAGCCAGTCCCTGTGTGGGAGCCTCTGTCATACACTGTCAGTAGTGGTATGCCAGTCCCTGTGTTGGTGCATCTGTCATAAATTGTCAGTAGTGGTAAGCCAGTCCCTGTGTGGGAGCACCTGTCATACATTGTCAGAAGTGGTAAGCCAGTCCCTGTGTGGGAGCCTCTGTCATACATTGTCAGTAGTGGGATGTCCATCCCTGTGTGGGAGCACCTGTCATACATTGTCAGTAGTGGTATGCCAGTCCCTGTGTAGGAGCACCTGTCATACATTGTCAGTAGTGGTATGCCATTCCCTGTGTGGGAGCATCTGTCATACATTGTCAGTAGTGGTAAGCCAGTCCCTGTGTGGGAGCACCTGTCATACATTGTCATTAGTGGGATGCCCGTCCCTGTGTGGGAGCACCTGTCATACATTGTCAGTAGTGGTATGCCAGTCCCTGTGTGGGAGCACCTATCATACATTGTCAGTAGTGGTATGCCAGTCCCTGTGTGGGAGCCTCTGTCATACATTGTCAGTAGTGGTATGCCAGTCCCTGTTGGAGCACCTGTCATACATTGTCAGTAGTGGTATGCCAGGCCCTGTGGGAGCACCTGTCATACATTGTCAGTAGTAGAATGCCAGTCCCTGTGTGGGAGCCTCTGTCATACATTGTCAGTAGTAGAATGCCCATCCCTGTGTGGGAGCACCTGTCATACATTGTCAGTAGTGGTATGCCAGTCCCTGTGTGTGAGCACCTGTCATACACTGTCAGTAGTGGTATGCCAGTCCCTGTGTTGGAGCACCTGTCATACATTGTCAGTAGTTGTATGCCAGTCCCTGTGTGGGAGCCTCTGTCATACATTGTCAGTAGTAGAATGCCAGTCCCTGTGTGGGAGCCTCTGTCATACATTGTCAGTAGTGGTATGCCAGTCCCTGTGTGTGAGCACCTGTCATACACTGTCAGTAGTGGTATGCCAGTCCCTGTGTTGGAGCACCTGTCATACATTGTCAGTAGTTGTATGCCAGTCCCTGTGTTGGAGCACCTGTCATACATTGTCAGTAGTTGTATGCCAGTCCCTGTGTGGGAGCCTCTGTCATACATTGTCAGTAGTAGAATGCCAGTCCCTGTGTGGGAGCACCTGTCATACATTGTCAGTAGTGGTATGCCAGTCCCTGTGTGGGAGCCTCTGTCATACATTGTCAGTAGTCGTATGCCAGTCCCTGTTGGAGCACCTGTCATACATTGTCAGTAGTGGTATGCCAGGCCCTGTGGGAGCCTCTGTCATACATTGTCAGTAGTAGAATGCCAGTCCCTGTGTGGGAGCACCTGTCATACATTGTCAGTAGTGGTATGCCAGTCCCTGTGTGGGAGCCTCTGTCATACATTGTCAGTAGTGGTATGCCAGTCCCTGTTGGAGCACCTGTCATACATTGTCAGTAGTAGAATGCCAGTCCCTGTGTGGGAGCCTCTGTCATACATTGTCAGTAGTGGTATGCCAGTCCCTGTGTAGGAGCATCTGTCATACATTGTCAGTAGTGGTATGGCAGTCCTTGTGTGGGAGCACCTGTCATACATTGTCAGAAGTGGTATGCCAGTCCCTGTGTAGGAGCACCTGTCATACATTGTCAGTAGTGGTATGCCAGTCCCTGTGTTGGAGCACCTGTCATACATTGTCAGTAGTTGTATGCCAGTCCCTGTGTGGGAGCACCTGTCATACATTGTCAGTAGTAGTATGCCAGTCCCTGTGTTGGAGCACCTGTCATACATTGTCAGTAGTGGTATGCCATTTCCTGTGTCGGAGCCTCTGTCATACATTGTCAGTAGTGGTATGTCAGTCCCTGTGTGGGCCTCTCCTGTCACACATTGTCAGTAGTGGTAAGCCAGTCCATGTGTGGGGAAAAACTGTCATGCATTGTCAGTAGTGGTATGCCAGTCCCTGTGTGAACCTCACCTGTCATACATTGTCATTAGTGGTATGCCAGTCCCTGTGTGGGAGCACCTGTCATACATTGTCAGTAGTGGTATGCCAGTCCCTGTGTGGGGAAAAACTGTCATACATTGTCATTAGTGGTATGCCAGTCCCTGTGTAGGAGCACCTGTCAGACATTGTCAGTAGTGGTATGCCAGTCCCTGTGTGGGAGCCTCTGTCATACATTGTCAGTAGTGGTATGCCAGTCCCTGTGTGGGAGCACCTGTCATACATTGTCAGTAGTGGTATGCCAGTCCCTGTGGGAGCACCTGTCATACATTGTCAGTAGTGGTATGCCAGTCCCTGTGTGGGAGCCTCTGTCATACATTGTCAGTAGTGGTATGCCAGTCCCTGTGTGTGAGCACCTGTCATACACTGTCAGTAGTGGTATGCCAGTCCCTGTGTTGGAGCACCTGTCATACATTGTCAGTAGTTGTATGCCAGTCCCTGTGTGGGAGCACCTGTCATACATTGTCAGTAGTGGTATGTCAGTCCCTGTGTGGGAGCACCTGTCATACATTGTCAGTAGTAGTATGCCAGTCCCTGTGTTGGAGCACCTGTCATACATTGTCAGTAGTGGTATGCCAGTTCCTGTGTGGGAGCCTCTGTCATACATTGTCAGTAGTGGTATGTCAGTCCCTGTGTGGGCCTCTCCTGTCACACATTGTCAGTAGTGGTAAGCCAGTCCCTGTGTGGGGAAAAACTGTCATGCATTGTCAGTAGTGGTATGCCAGTCCCTGTGTGAACCTCACCTGTCATACATTGTCATTAGTGGTATGCCAGTCCCTGTGTGGGAGCACCTGTCATACATTGTCAGTAGTGGTATGCCAGTCCCTGTGTGGGCCTCTCCTGTCACACATTGTCAGTAGTGGTATGCCAGTCCCTGTGTGGGGAAAAACTGTCATGCATTGTCAGTAGTGGTATGCCAGTCCCTGTGTGAACCTCACCTGTCATACATTGTCATTAGTGGTATGCCAGTCCCTGTGTAGGAGCACCTGTCAGACAGTGGTCATTCAGTCTTTTGGTCAGTTATGGTGGGCATAGGCAGGATTGATTAGTCTCCTTATGGGAAGTGACATGTGGATGTACTTCAAATTGACCATTACTGAAATGGCGATGCCCAGGTCTTTTGGTAGTTAGTTTAGAGAGGAACATTATCAATTAGATCTCACAAGGATTGTTGTTTAAGCTCACCTTGTCCATGTGATGTATTTGTCAATCATCATGTCTTCTCTGTTACCACTAGATAGATATTGAGCAGAAACTCAAATAATTGTTGAGATGGTTGTAATAATGTTTTCAATTGAGAAAATAATATGATAACAAATATGAAAATGAACAATTAAGCAGTTTCTTTTCAAGAAGCACAAGGCCAACAGAGACACTACTTATTCTCCCTGATTCTCTCTGATAATGGTCCTTGGTTTGGTAAGCACCTGTGCTTGTGGATTTCACCAGGCTGCTAAACATTTAAGCCATGATTTCAGGCATTTCTCATACAATCTTACATGCCGTGATGTATCTCATGTGCATTTCGCTCCCTCACACATGATGGCGTTCTTAGAAACTGTAGCCAAATGGTCAGTGTGGTTGCTCTTCACACAAGTTGTTTGAAACCCACCCACCTACATCAGGAGATTTCACCTTTACTGCGAGCAGAGTCTTAGTGTTCTGTTGTGCACCTGGACAAGCTTCTATTGCTCATTCCAGTGTCTTCATTTGAGAACAGCAACAAATTTTGAGTTATGTCACATCAGCCTGCATTACCTCATGCTGAACAAGACCTTCATGTTTTCCTGTGCTATTAATGGTGTCACTTGTGTTTCTGATCTCATGTAGTTTTTAATGATTTATAAATTTCAACATTTTTCAGCTGCTACATTATTTGGATGTCACATTTATTTCATTTACCATTTTGTAAAATGCACTTCGTGATTATTGTTTAGAAAACGGAAGTCCATTATTATTTAATTTCAACTTTACATTAATTATTTGTGATTATTTCATTTTCGAAAGTATGATTATCAGCCTCTCTTTTTAAAGGCTATTTCCACTTGCCTTCTCAAGACAATTTGAACAAATGATTGGACTAATTACTTGCCGCGTCCCCATTGGTTGGTCATATATGTGGTAACAAATTACCAAATACCCTATACTTTGGTGAGCTTCTGAGTGAGATGGATATAACCCTGATTTGAACAGTATTATCATATTATATGAGGAATATCTGAAGTAATGCAGGCCTTGTAAGTTTAACACTTTAGGATCATAATTGGGGCCGAATCTAAAGTTTGAACCCATAACCATCAGATCCTGGCAATACTAAGGAACATAACTCTGAACTGCAAATTGCATCACCTCCGACAACTAGGACATCCCCTACCTCTAGT